AGAAAAAGATGTAACATTTTGACCCAGTTCCAAAGCCCCTACCCTTAACCACTCATGACACCTCCCAGTGAGGGGGCAGTGAGAAGGATGGCTGGCCCCTCCTGTGTGACTAACTGATATAGGAGGAAGATCTTGGAGCCTATTTTCCCCTAGAGTCAGGTCTTGTCACCTGAAGTGTCCACTTGGTGGCAGCCACCCATATCTTTACAAACAAAGCAGGCACAGGCAGACACAGCTTGCACCTCGGGAGTTGAAGCAGAAGGACTTCCTGGACTTTAAGACAAACCTAAGTTGCAGAGTAAGATCCTTTAAAATCAGGAAGAGACTGAAAGTCATCTGAAAGGGTTGTAGTTGACTTGTGGATCTGCACCCCATCTTTAGAGAACTAGATTTTCACAGTCTGGCAAGGCATATTAACAGCCTTCCAGATGTCAGGCAGTGGGTGTCCAGGGACTCAGTGAGACTTGGTTTTCTCATTCCCCTCTCAAGTGTGCCAGTTTAGGCTGTAGTTTGTCCCTTTGGGAGATATCATAATCACTCATTTAACTCCCTAAGAGTGGAGAAAACCAGGTTTCCAGCTAGTCATCCCATACAGACTGCCAGTCTAGCACAGGAAAGGTCTGATTTGTGGCAGGCCTGATTCTGGGTACTCTTAGTTGCAGGGGCTGAAACCCAGTTCAATAGAAAAAAAAAAAAAACTGAACTGGTTTGCATGCCTAAATCTTGGTAATGTCAGATGTGTGTCCCTACATCACAGGCTTTTATCTCTTGGCCTTTCAGAGGCTTTATTGTTAGATAAGGCTTCCCAGCCAACAACATGACCCCTCACTGAAATAACCCCTAAGATTTGTAATCCTGAAGAAAGACCCATTCTGTCCTGTCCCTGCCATAACAACTCTGGAGATCTGTGATTGTTCTGCTTAGGTCACATGCCCACCATTTGACTCAGTCACTATGAGCTGGACAGAGATGGGTGACATGGTTGACCTGCCCCATTACATAAAAGGCTGACAAGGCCTTGGCTCTGGTACCAAATGGTCCTCTGCCTGGAATGCTTTCCCCTAAATCTGTGTGTCTGTCTTTTTATGTTCTGTTCTGTTCTGTCATTTCCTCAAACCTAACCCAACAATCTCTCTAAACTCACCCTCTGTATTCGGATTACTGAATACAACAAACCAAAATAATAGCAGATTTAAAAAGGTTTTCTTCTTGGAGCCGCTGAGTTGACTCAGCAAGTGTAAGTGCTTGCAGTGCAAGTCTGACCTGAATTCAACCCCTGAAGCCTACTGTGGCAACAGTGGTCAAGTCCAAAACTTGACTCTGCCCATCACACCCCCACTCTGGTACTCATGTATATATTATTTACCTCTCTAAGCAACTGGGGCTGTGTTGCCAATTGGTGCAAACAGGAGGATTGATCTCAGCTTCTGTCTTATTCTGTTACATCTCATAATCAGAGATAGTCTTAGCTGAGTATGGAGGCACATTCTCATAATTCCAGCACTAGACAACTGGGTGGGAGGATCACGAGTGTCATCCTAGGCAGTGTAGCAACCACTCTGACCAAGTCACATGTGTGAGCACCAGTGGGGTGGAAGCATTGAGACCTCGTAAGTCCATCAGAGTCCTAACATTGACAGGTAGATGAAGCTCATTGAGAATGGGGAACATTTGGAACTAGTTACTAGTATGGCCATTTCAGAAAGCTGGCTCTAGCTACTGAAATGAAACACACTTACTGATGGTATCCGGGTTAAAAACACCTAGTTATCAAAAACGTACACTGATGTTTTCTGGGACACATTCGAAAGGTTCACACATGCCTGCTGTCCTCAGATACTTAGATGAAAGGATCATGAGCCCAGACAATGGAGACCAATCCAAGAGAAAGTCAGTCATGATGTTTTCTAATATGTGTGACCATCTCAAACTGGAACTAACCCAAATGTCCATCAGCAGTGAGATGAACTCCATTCACATTACGAATGAATGAACAAGACAGCCACACAGTGTGATGTGGATTAACCTTAATAAAACAGATGCAAAGGAAGATTCAAGAACATGCCTGCTGTGTTGTTAACACTTACCCAGCTCACAAACAGCTGAAACTACAACTGAGTCCAGGAGAGGGCTGGGGACAGGTCCGTGGTAGAAGGGCACTTGCCTTGTCCTGGTTCGATCCCAGCATCACACACACAAAGAAGTGGGTCATAGTGGCTCATGCTTGTATCTCAGCACTTAAGAGGCTGAGGCAGGAGGATTGCTGTGAATGAAATGGAGCAGCCCCATATTTCTGGGCCACTATATGAGATCCTATATCAAAAAGAAGGGGCAAAATGGGGCTTCTTGCTACAGTTGGGGGATAAACAATTGAAAACAGATGCTCTAGGCATCTAGATTGGAGGGGGGTCTGGGTAGCAGTTGCAAGACTATATATTCACATTGTGAAAATTCAAAAACATACTTTTATTTTTTTCAAGATGTAATCTTACTATGTAGCCCTGGCTGGCCTCAAACTCACAGATATCCTCCTGTTCTCTACCTCTTGAATACTAGGATTAAAGACATGTACTGCCACACCCAGCTAATAAATTTTTTTCTGTATGTTTTAACTAATGTTTTTTAAAAAGTAAATGAAAAATTAAAAGTAATGAGAGATATGTGGCTGGCAGGTATATCTCTGCCTGGATTTCCCTGTGGCTTCAAAAGGAGACTCAAGGAGGGAAAATACTTCATATAAGAAACTTGATTTCCCAGCCAGGGGGGTGGTGGTGCATGCCTCTGATCCCAGCACTTGAATTTTTGAGTTCAAGGCCAGCCTGGTCTACAGAGTAAGTTCCAGGACAACCAGGGCTACACGGAGAAACCCTGCCTTGAAAAAACAGACAAGAGGCAGGGGTTGATTTAATTTTCCAAAGAGAAAAACACCACAGGCTAGCATCCGCATAGTAAAAAGCCAGGGGGCATAGGATAGACCAAGGGGTGAAACTGTCAGGGGATTTTTGTAGTTTAGTTATGGGATGAAAGCATCCGTTAAATGGTACATATGTGTTTTTCTGTTTGAAATGAGATCATGCTCCATAGCCAAGGCTGGTCTGAAACTTGGAGTGATCCTTCTGCCTTGGCTTCCTAACTGGGCTTGCAGGTATACCACCATATCTGTCTAAGTGTACACACCTTCGGAGTTGTAAATCAAAAAGAAGCTAGAGTCAGAATATCAAAGACTACCACCATATTTCCTGTGACATCCCAGGTTATTAATTTACTTATTCCCTGCTACTAATAACCTAGAGACAATAAAAAGCAGATTCTAGAGGCCCAACAGTTAAGTCAAGGTCATTACCTCAGGTGAGCCAATACACATTGGCAAACCCTCTTTGGAGAGGGCCGTGTGGTGGCCCTGTGCTGTGTGTGCTGTGTGTGCTGTGTGAGCTGTGTGAGCTGAAACGAAACTTTTAAGCACCTAGAAGTCTGTTTTCTCATCTGAAAAGAAGCTTCTTTAATGCTTGAAGAGGTTTCCTATGCTGTCTGTCTTGGTATCAATCATCTGTCACTACGCCAATGCCATATGAAGAGACCTTTGAAATGGCAGCTGACATTAATTATCTTGGAAATCCACTTAAAGCTAGCCAGGATTCTGTTGGAAGTTTGTCTAGTCTCCAGGGTGGCAGAGTTGGAATCAGAACCTACAGGGTTAGGTTTGAGGTTAACCTGAAAAGAGATACAGTCAGGGATTCTAGGGTTCTCTGAAGTCCTGGCTACCCTTCCTTCTTACCTCCATTTCTGAGAAGCAAGCTTGTGCTACAAAGCCAGTCTGGCAGGTGAGCTGGCTAGCCTGTGACTTTGCACTTTGTTTTCTGAGGCCCAGCGAGAGGGAGCTGAGTCCATCTAAAGTCCACAGAGCCAGGAGATTATGGAAGATGTTAAAACAAATAGGTTATTGGTGGGGGAGGGGACGAAAAGAGCAGAGGGAAGCCCTCCAGCCCCTGCCTCCCAGCCAGTTCCTGGGCAGCACTTACAGTTATTCTACTTGGTTTTTGCCTGTCCCTCCCATGTTCGATAGGCAGGAAACTGTCATTTTCTGGCTGTATCCGCAGGTCAGACACAGAACACGGGTGCTAACAGCACTTCATGAATCAACCAAGTTGAGAGGACAGCTTTGCTCGGTTGCTTTCAGCAGTAGTTTTGAAGATAAACGTGTATTTCAGTTTTGAAACCCCGACTCTTTCTTCCCCTTAAATTTTTTTTTTTTTTTTTCGAGACAGGGTTTCTCCGTGTAGCCCTGGCTGTCCTGGAACTCACTCTGTAGACCAGGCTGGCCTCGAACTCAGAAATCCACCTGCCTCTGCCTCCCAAGTGCTGGGATTAAAGGTGTGCACCACCACTGCCCGGCTTTAAATGGTGTGTGTGTGTGTGTGTGTGTGTGTATATTTTTATTTTTTCTAGAGTAGACAAACACGGCGGTGGCACTCCTGTAATCCCAGCACTTGGGAGCTGAGGCAGGAAGATGTTCGTGGCCTGCTTACCTGCATTAGTGAGACCTTAACTTAAAACCAAGTGTCTAGGCTATTGCAATGAACAAACTGTGTGGGTGTGACAAGCAGTTCCCTTCTAGAACTAATTGAGGTCTCTCAGGACAGACAGGGACAGAGCCTTGCTGGAGTCCTCACCTAGGGGAGCCAGGCTGAGCCCTAACACCTCCCACCCCGCCCCCATTCCCAAGTCAATCTAGGTACTTCCCCAAGTGTTCGCATCCCGGGGAGGCGGAGTGGGGGATAGAGATGAGAAGCGAAGAGAATCACCTGGGTTGTGATAAAGAAGATAAGGGAACTGGGGAGGAACGAGATGAGGGGTGAGACAGTGACCTTGAGAAGCCTGGCGGCGATGAGAGGGCGTGGGACCGGGAGCAGTGAAGCTACGGGGTAACGTAAGGGACAGGAGGTCCTAGACTTGCAGCGTGGCGGGTGACGGGCGCGAGGGAGGAGCTCGGTGACGCCTAGAGCGGGGCGGGGCGAGAAGCAATGGCAAGTCCGAGGGTCGCGAGCTTCTGATCGCCTACGTGGAGCCGGTGGAGCAGCCGCTGCGTCGCTTTCCCCTAGCCAGGTGGGTGCGGAGGCCAGAGGCTGGATGGGGGGCGCTGAGCCGTGGGAACCCAGTGCAGCCGAGCTGGGGACACTGGAGGCCGGCCAGCAGTGGACCTGGCCCCCGAGGCTCCAGTCTCGGGTCTCGCTAATTTTAGGATGGTCAGTCCTGCAGCCAGAGCCCCAGCCTGGCTACGACTTTTGTCCTGGGACATACCTGAGCCTGAGGCATCCAGAGGACTTTCGGATCCAGTCTGGTTCCTGGCTGGGCCTCAGCCTACCCACCTGCGCAATGAGAGCCCTTTTAAAGTTGTCTCACTATTTCGAGCTGACTTAAATTCTCTTCTTTGTCACATTTCTTTACGCGCCCCGCCCCCACACCCCTCCTCACCAATGTTTTGTTTGGCTGCATTCTGAATGAACCCTGGACCCCACAGACTGAAAGACAAGACACAGCCATGCAGTCTGCTCTGTCTGGGGACAAACCTGCAATCAGTCTCTGATTCCAGGCAGAGAACTGGCTGTTGGGTATGTTGGGTATTAGATCAGTCGTCCTTCTGAATTGGTCTCCTCGGCACTAATAACACCAGGGAGAATTTGCACCTCAGAGCCATGTAGGAACGGACTGTCTTCTGTCCCACCCTGTCCCAGGATCAACATAATCCAACTTTTAAAAGAATATAAATATGGGTAAGCAAAGGGAGCCCTGGCTAGAATTTGAGTTCTAATCCAGCCAGTGTTTGCAGGCTGTGACCTTAGGCAGTAACTGCCCCTCCCTGGTTCCACCAGACTCTCACTAGAGTGAGGTCAGAGTCTCCAGGAACCTTTCGCTTTTTTGACATTACTAGTAATCTCTCCTTTTTTTAAAAAAAATGAAGCCAAGTTGGAGATTTTATTAATAATATTTTAATGCAGACTTAAACATGAGGGTTAGGAGGAAAAGAAGGACTCTGAGGAAAGTCAGGCATACTCAAGTGTGAATATGGATTTTTTTTTTTTTTTTTTGGTTTTTCGAGACAGTGTTTCTCTATATAGCCCAGGCTGTCCTGGAACTCACTCTGTAGACCAGGCTGGCCTCGAACTCAGAAATCCACCTGCTTCTGCCTCCCAAGTGCTGGGATTAAAGGCGTGTGCCACCAATGCCTGGCAAATATGGATTTCTTAAAGAAGGGCACCATTTTCTAATAATTGTAAAAGGGTCATGGGCTGGAGAGATGGCTCAGAGGTTAACAGCACTGCTGTTCTTCCAGAGGACCCAGGTTGAATTCTCAGCACCCATGTGACAGCTCACAACTGTCTGTAACTCCAGTTCCAGTGGACTTCACTCTCATACAGACATACACGCAGGTGATAAAACAAATCATTTAAAAAAAAACAATGAACAATTTTGGACTAAATAAAATAATTTATGTGTTTGCTCAAAACACATTTCTGGGCATCTTATGAGCCAGATGTTGGGGAAGAAGACAGGTTTCCATCCCCCGTAGCATTTCTAGCATTAAATAATAAGGGTTTCTCTGTAGACAATATATATATGAAACAAGCATAATGAAGTCAGTATGTGCCATGAGGTTATAAATCTGGAACCAAAGTTAGTCTGTGAACTCAAAGAATTTCCTTAGCAGGTGCAGTTCTTGAGGAATCCCGAGAAAAGAACATACAGAAAATATATATAAACTTCCTTGAGGCTGGGCAAAGTCTAGTGCTTTGGGCAGAGCTGAGCTCAGGTGCACAGCTTTGTAGGTCAAAGTCAGGAAGTAGTTACGACTGCTATTATCTGTATGTGGTGTTTTGCCTCCATGTATGTAAGTGCACTTCAATCATGTCTGGTGCGTGTGAAGCCAGAAGAAGGTGTCATATACTTGGTACCTCAGAATACGGACCCAGTCTCTGACAGCAGGGCCTCAGCATCTACCTCACCTACTGATTTTTCATTCCAGGATCTTGTGCTGAAAGACATTACCAAAGTGCCTTGGGACAGCCTACCATTCTGACCCATATAGCCTGGAAAAGAACCACTGTTGCTTGTGGAGGGGTGGCCTGAACCAGTAGCTCCTTTGATTCTGGGATCTGCACTGAACTTGATCTCCATGGCACACCGGCTGCAGATTCGTCTACTGACGTGGGATGTGAAGGATACCCTGATCAAGCTCCGACGCCCTGTTGGGGAAGAATATGCCAGCAAGGCCCGGGCCCATGGACTGGAGGTGGAGGCCACAGCTGTGGAACAAGCCTTCAGGCAGGCATATAAGGCTCAGAGCCACAGTTTTCCCAACTATGGTCTGAGCCGTGGCCTTACTTCCCGTCAGTGGTGGATGGATGTGGTCCTACACACCTTCCGCCTAGCAGGGGTCCCAGATGCCCAGGCCATGACTCCAGTTGCTGACCAGCTATATGAAGACTTCAGCAGCCCTTTCACCTGGCAGGTGTTGGAGGGGGCTGAGACGACCCTGAACGGTTGCCGTAAGCGGGGTCTGAGGCTAGCAGTGGTCTCCAACTTTGACCGACGACTAGAGAATATCCTAACAGGCCTTGGCCTGCGAGAACATTTTGATTTTGTTTTGACTTCTGAGGCTGTGGGCTGTCCTAAACCGGATCCACGGATTTTCCGTGAGGCTTTGCAACTCGCCTGTGTAGAACCTGCATCGGCAGCTCATGTTGGGGATAGTTACCGCTGTGATTACCAGGGATCTCGGGCTGTAGGCATGCACGGCTTCCTGGTGGTAGGCCCAGAGCCTCTGGACTCCTCAGTCAGAGATTCTGTACCTAAAGAGCACATTCTACCCTCCCTACCCCATCTCCTGCCTGCCCTTGACCTCCTGGAGGCCCCGAGCCCTATGTCATGAATCTGGTGAGGAAAGTAGCTGGGACCAAATAAACACCAGAGGCAGGGAGTCCCTTCTCTCACCTCTCCTACAGAGGGAGGTGTCTTGGCCCTCCTGCTGCAGCCTCTATAATAACCTATTCTGATCACAGAACATCGAGGGCTTGGCAGTAGCCTGGTCTCTGAGCTCACGAATTATTCACACCTATGCCCCTTTTTAATGTACTATTATGTGGTGGGTATGTATGTGTGAATGTGTGGAATGTATATCATGGTATGTGTGTGTGGCAGTTGGAAGATGATTTTGTGAACTCTGGTCTCTCATCTTTACATGGGTTCTGGGGATCAAACTCAGATCACAGAGTTTGTGCCGAGTGCTATTACCTGCTCAGCTATCTTGCCAGTTCCCTCCATCCCTTTTTTACCCTGATCCCAACTCCATATCCACCAAGGGCCCATCCATTCACTAGCAGGTACTTTTTGGCTTTTTGAGATGGGTTCTTTCTCTAGCCCATATTGATGTGAACTTACTCTAGTCCATGCTGGCGTGATGATCTTCCTTCTGAATCGGTCTTCTGAACGCTAGGACTGCAGGCGTGAGCCACTTTCAAGAGCTAGGGAAATAGATCAGTGGTAGAGCACTTGCCTAATTTGTAAGGTCCTGGGCTCAGCTGTAGGCATGTGTAGGCACACACACCTTACAAATACTGTTTTTACAGTAAGGGCTTTTTTGTCACTGGAGCTCTGAAACCACACTGTGCAAAACACAAGATCAAAAGAGCTCAGAGAAGTTGAGATAGAAATCCCCTCCCCAACCTGGGAATCTCAAGGTTAGATGTGTCTAACATCAGCCCATCATGTGTGCTGGGCTATTCAATAGGAAGACTGTCCATTAGAATCCTTGAATTAGAATCCACTGTAATCGGTCTTAAAAAAGAACACTGCCCTACATCATACTCTTTACCTGAATGCTGTCCAGTGAGCAGCGGTGGAGTGACTTCCCACAACTTTACTTAGGAGCATGGTAGCACATGTCTGTAACCCCAGCATTCTAGAGATGGAGGCTATATAGTGAGTTCAAGGCCAGAGTGGGCTATGTGAAACAATGTCTTTTAAAAAGACAGAGATGGGGTCCTGGTAAGATGGCTCAGTGACGGGGGGTTGGGGGGACAGGGAGGTATACTGGAGAGATGGCCCAATGGTTAAGAGCACTAGCTGCTCTTCCAGAGTACCTGGATTTGTTTCTCAGCACCTACATGAACAGCTCACAACTGTAGCTCCAGGGGATTGATGCCTTCTGCTGGCCTCTGAAGGCACATACATGGAGCACAGACATACATGCAGACAAAACACCCGTACATATAAACAAAAATCACTTGTCAAAACATGACCCAGATGACTTTGGGACTGCATAGAGTTGGAAGGAAAGAACTCACACTAATACACACACACCCCTACATCCATCCATATGAACACACACTGTTCTCCAAAGATCTCCCAGTCACCCTGGGACGACATTCTGCATGGCAATAAGGGGCTGAAGCAAAGCAGTGATTGTCTGCCAGCCAAACTCTGTGACCAACCCAAATTGTTTTCACTGTTGTTTGTAGTGCTGGGACTGAGCTCAGAGCTCTTGGCATGCTAGCCAAGTGCCTTGCCACCAAGCTTCATCCCCAGTCCTGGCAAGAAGACCATTATTCTCAGATGAACTCCTTATGGAGAAAGTGGCCAAAGAACTTGCCCTTGGTTCCAGTAACATCTCCAGTCTTTTGATGCTATGATCCACTTGTTTCTAAGCATATACCTAAGGCTACCAATCAGCATGGAGCCAGTTACCAGCAAAGACATCATCAAGTCTTTAGAAACCTTTAATAACGCTCACATTCATTTATTAAGGCTAGCCCTCCTTTCCCCTCTGCTCTTTTTGCTTGCAGCTCCACCCAGGTAGGTCTCCACCCTAAGGAAAGAGTCATGAAATGGGGTGCTCACCAGCACAGTGAGGGCGGATGTTTATCACCCTTCTCACATGTAGGTCTATGCTAGGGCTCAGCCTCATGGCCTGGGATGGATGCCAACCAGTGTGCTACAAGCAGGTTTCCTGGAGATGGGGTACTGATGCCTTGACAGAATGTGGGAGGAGGGGACCACACTCCCTCAACAGTGTTCTGGCCAACAGTAGCCTGACAGGGTGTCCTTTGTATGCTAGAAAAATACTCTCTTCACATGGTGTATCATGAAAAAGACCAAGAAATACTGAACTGAGAGGCTAGGGAAGGTTCAGTACAAGCTTCTCTGCAGCAAGGCATTTTCAGGGACTGCAGTGCTTCTCCAGAAACTGCTACACCACTGGTCACCTGCCTGTTTAACCATTTGCTCCATCACTATACCTTGCTGGTATACTAGCCATACACAAGGTACCATGCTGGATGCCAGAGACACAGGTTAATGAGACCCTTGGAAGGTCACAAGCATGGTGGGTTTGGGAGACTAAGGCCAAGAGAGAAGAAACAGGATCCCCACAGATGACCAACATCAAAAGGGTTATGTCTGAGTCCGAAGCAGATCTCCATCTCTCCAAAAGTTGCCCATGGGGAACACTACTCATATCATCAAGGAAAAGGACACTAGCTAGAAGCATGACCTGATCTGCAAGGGTGATGGGGAGGTGGATCTGGCTTCACTGTGGCCAGAGGTCAGCGAAGGATGGAGATTATATGGTCAGCCACAGCAAAGACTGGGAAGAGCCTCTCAGGGAAGGACCCACGGTAGATGTGAAGCACCGTCCCTGAGATAGGATCGTAGAAGACAAGCTCTCCTGCCTGCAGGTCCAGCAGTATGCCCAGCTGTGCTGGGCACCGAAGTAGTGCCAGAGGCTCATGCTGCCCATTGTGTGAGAAACAGAACTCTTGATCATAGCGGGAGAAGACCCAGGAGAAGGCATTGTGGCCCAGGCGGCAATCATTGCCAGGACCCTTTCGGGGAAGCTGAGCTGAGGCCACACCCACTTTATAAGCACAACTGTGTTTAACGTTCACTATCCAGGCATGGAGCCCAGTCTGGAAGGCAGTGGCAGCAAGGGCATTGGGCCAGTAGTCAAAGCGCTCTGGGTCATCTGAGCAGGCCTTGGACTTCTTGGCATTGAAGGCCAGGGTCCTTCGATCTTCAGACAGATGCAATAAGGGGCTGACAGTCCTTTCATCGATAAGCACCTCCTCCATGCCTGCAGAAAGAGTTCTCAGGGTTGTACTGGGTCCTTCCCCCATCCCATTCCTAATCTGGTCCTACTAGGTAGTCAAAGGCTTTCTTGCCACTTGCTGAGACCTCAGACAAGCCATTCACTCTCTCTGAGCCTCAGTTTCTTTATCTTTAAAAGTAACAATCAAATAGGACTAAACACTTAGAGGACTTACAGGGTACTCTTGGGGATTAGATAAAATAATGTGTGTTAAATGTTTCATATAGAATACTTGCTGAGGAACAAAAGCCAGAAGAATAGTAGTCATTGGTCTAAAATCTTCATCTACACACTCTAACAGAAATAAAGGCCAGAAAGGAGAAGCGAGTTGCCCAAGACTCCATGCCAAGTTGTTGGTGGTGTCAAATGAAGACTCAATATTTTAGTATTCCCATTTCGTACTACTTTCTAGCTGATCCTACCTGTGGCTTCCAGAGCTGACATCCTGAGGGCAGAGAACAGAAACTAGGAAACATGGTAGCTAAACAGAGCTACCATCTGATACTAGAATCTACAACATAAAACCTGTATTTGTAATTAGTATCTATATTTCCAGGGGAATTCCAGGAGGGACAGTCACCTCTGATAATCACCTCTGATGCCCCAGTATGCAGTACAGGGTCAGTCCCATATTCACCACCAGTCAATGTTTTGTTGTTCTTTTGTTCTTGAGTTAGGGTCTCAGACAGGGTGATAGACAGACTAGCCTTGAACCCAGAATCTTCCTGCTTCAGCCACCCAAGTGCTGGGCTTACAGGCACACATCACCTCACTCAACCATTTAAGCCGATGTTTGTTAAATGGATGAGTGAAGCAAACCCAGGCAGCTTCATTGTGGACTCAGGTGGATGTCATTCTACTTTTTAAAAGAAACCTGAGGTTTCCAATAAATGGTAAAGAGCTGACCCAGAAAGGCAAGAGGTAAGGAGGACATGACTTAAAGGAACATAATTGATCCTATACCTAACCGTAGAGAAATGGGAATGGCTTAGACATGGGAAGGATCTGGTCCAACTGTACAGCCTTGGCCCTACTGAGCAGCCTGTTTCCAACATCACTGGTTACCAAAGCTACCATCACACATGCACCGATGCCCAGTATGACCCAGCAGCAGCCTCCACCCCCAACACACACAGGTAGGCAAGCAGGCAGGCAGTGCTGGACTCTTGCAGCTCCTAACCTGAGAGAGACCCGAGAACCGATGTTGCCCACAGTTGAGTCAGTAGTGGGCTCCAAGTACACTTCTCATTAAAGCTTAATTTCTCCGAATCCTGGGGTTCCAAAATGCCCTCTGCTTCCTCGGCCCTTATGAAGGAAATAAAAGAGAGAGAGAGATTCAGGAAGGTTCTGGAAACACATCTAGCTCCACATGGGTGAGGGGAGAAAGACAAAAGTAAAAAGAATCCTTTGGTAGGGCAATACCATGATTTATTAGCCAGAAGAGAAAGTAGATTTTCCTGAAGGCCCCGGGGGCCTTCGTTTCAGCAAAGCAGACAGACAGTTTATAGGGAAGTATATTCTCGGGGCTGGTATAAAAAGCGGTGGCAGGGCTGGAGAGAACTCAGCTGTAAGGATGTCTGCTGCTTTGGCAGAGGGCCCCAGCACCAACTCGACCACCCGTTACTTCAGTTCCAGGGATCAGAAAACCTCAGTGAGTGCTTGGAGCCACATGTACACACCAACACACACACATACAAGCATGCAAACAATGATAAAAATAAGTACATCTTGGAGGGTGGAAACTGAAGGCAGTGTGCTCTGGAGTGCGAGTGACTCAGGAGTGCCCTGGGTAAGCTGGTAGAGCTAGAAGAGGACCTGGGCCTTGGGATCCTGTGTGAGAACATTTCACTATTAAACTATCTAGAAATTGTTTCACTTCCTCCAAAACCCACTGCAAGGGTAAATGTTTCTCCGGTTTAGTCCAAAGATCAGGCCACTCCTCAGCTCTTAAACACAAACACCCCTTCCTGAGGATCACACAGCACAAGGACATTTCATCATCAAGGGGGAACGGCTAGAGGCTGGGGAGCTAACCCAACAGGTAAGGCACCTGCAGTGCAAGTTGTGGGCCAGAAGTTGAATCTGCAGAACCCATGGAAAGCTTGGTGTGATAGCCCACACCAATAATCCCTGTGCTTTTAGGTAAGATGGGAGGTGGAGATAGGAAGCTCAAGGACCAACTAGTGGTGTAGGCATTTCTAACAACAAAGAGACTCTGTTTCAAACAAGAAGGAAGGCAAGAACCAGCATCTGAGATTGTTCTCTGACCTCCATATGCACACCATGACACATGCACAATGGCATTTACACACAAACATGCAAGCATATATGTAGACATAACACACACACACACACATGCCCCAACTAGGGCTAAAGAGATGGTTCAGTGGTCATGAGGACTTGTTGCCCTTGTAGAAGACTCTGGTTCAATTTCCAGAACCCCTGTGGCAGCTCGCAACTTTCTGAAACTCAAGTTCCAGGGGATCCAATGCTCTCTTTTGGTATCATCAGGACCCTGTACATATGTGGTGCACACACACACACATATATAGATTCATATGCAGGTGTACACACATATACAAAAATAAGATAAATAAATATTAAAACAAACAAAAATTGTAAAGAAGGAAATGCCTTAGGACAGGTTGCCATTTATCCAGCTGTTTGGCCTCTGTGTTTACTGTTTGTATATATGATCACTTCAACTTTGCTGTGATGGGAAGGTAGTGGTTATCCCATCTGACATGAGAACAGAGTTTTATGGAAGATGCTTAGCAGGAAGATAGGAGCTGGACTCAAGTCCTGCTTCCTTGTAAAAATAGAAAAAACTCAGGTCGCAGCCCCAGCACCATTCAAGACATTTTTTTTTCTTGACATGAAATGAAATCTCAAAGGGACAAAAAGTGAAGCAGAAATCTATCCAACAGTTTGCAGTCCTCCAACCTGACTTCTCAGAAAGGATTTTCCTACTACCTCTAATTCTGAAGATGGCCTGAGGTCATTCAGCAGTACTTGTCTGATGCATACAAGGTCTCTGAGAGACTGTCACTGACTGTCCTGGAATGAGAAGAGCCTTACAAATGCTGACAATGGGCCCTGGTGACAAAGGCTCTTTGTGGCCAGAACAAGAGAGAGCCTATGATCTCAGACCACACCAGCTCTATGTGAAGAAGCCTCAGCTAACAGGTGGAGATGAGGAGGAGCCAGTGTCAGCAACTAAGCTGCCATTCTAGGACAGACCTAAGCCTACACAGGGACTGAAGTCAACAGGGAGCCACCTGGTCCAGCCACTGCATGGTATAGAACACAAAAGTCACAGTCCCAAGGTACAGTGGGATCTGAATATAGCAAAGCCTGGCTGGAATCAGAACATTCCATCTATGCAGTGGGGACCTGTTGCCACTCTAAAGCAAGAGCTGAACCCAGCCACCACGGATGTAGAAACACCAGAGACAACAAAGGCATTTCCCATTAGATAAGAGAGATTCCACCTAATGGGCCTGACAACAGCTCTTGGGCAAGAATAACCTCAGTTAGAGCATAAAGCACTACACGAAAATCTTCAGTGGAAGAAGTATGGACTCAGCAATTCAATGGTGTGTGTGCTGAAGGACTGAGCAAATGAGTACGGACAGCTATTGGCCTCCTGGGAGCTGGGGTTCTTTTTTATTTATTATTGTTGGTGGTAGTAGTGGTAGTTTTTTTTTGAAACAGAGTTTATCTATGGATCCCTATCCTGGAACTCTCTGTGTAGACCAGGCTGACCTTGAACTCACAGAGATCTGTTTGTCTCTGCTTCTGAAGTGCTGGGATTAAAGTTGCGCACCACAAGGCCCAGCTTGGGAGCCAGGGTCATTGATGTAAGATACAAATATGGAATGGGGAACAGGCAGAGGCTAAACACTGCTATGTTAGGCCAGAATTGGAAGTTATGATACAGACCATGCATAGGAAGTTCCACATATGCCCAAGCTCTGGTTGAAGGCCTGGTACAACGACATGTCAGTAGCGGTGAGAACACTAATGCCTCATCTCAGCTTTGAGAGACCTTACCCTACTAAAACTGGGTATGAAACCCCTGGGGAAACAACTGGTTCCAGGGCCAGGGCAGGGAAAACCCAAATGAGCCAGAGATAGCTTTTTAAAGAACACTTTTTAGGGTGCACAAACTGTTCTTCCAGAGAACCAGATTCAACTTCTAGCACCCACATGGCAATTCATGACACCCTCACAGACATACATACAGGCAAAACATCAATACACATGAGATAAAAATATATAAATTTTTTAAAAAATTAAGCACCTTTTAGATTTATGTGTATGAATGTTTTGCTTGCATGTATGTATTGTGCACAATGTGTGTGTGTCTGGTAGCCAAAGAGATCAGAAGAAGATATCAGATTATGGGTGTGAGCCATGATGTGGGTGCTGGGAACCAAACCCAGGTCCTCTATAAGAAGAGTAAGGTCTGCTGAGCCAGCCCTCCAGCTCTCTCACATCTTTTTTGTGCCACAGTAAAGTGCTCAGAGAAGACGGGACCTGCCCAATAGACAAGTCCATTTCTACAGGTCAAATGTAGGGCACTCTGAATATCAAAATCACCACAGGGGCAGTGAGAGTTACCATGCATCTGGTACAATCAGAATCTGTGAGTGGCATTGATTCTAAGAGAGGGAATAAATAAGCAAATAAATGAATGATTCAGGAAGAAATTAACAATGGATGTAAACTCTCGGAGTAAAAGACTAGAGGGCCAGAGAAAGCATGCACAGAAAGCACTTCTCATAGGTTGCTCACTAATTATGAAGGAGAAAATGCAACCTCATAATGAAGAACCTGGCTGCCAACACCTGAACACTCACCACTTCATTCAAGTGTTCAAACTAACATCACTGATAATGTGATAGTGACAAAACAACAACAACAAAAACCCATTGTTAAGAATGTTTTGGGCACAATTGGCAACCTTTGGCTTCGGCCTATATGGACTGTGTATGAGAGAACAGTGTTAGATCAATGATTAATTTCCTAAATTTTATACTGAGATCACATGGTATTTTTGTTTTAGGAGCTATATTGAAGTATTTAGAGGCAAAATAAACTTATGTTCTCTGCAACACATCATAAGATAGGTCAGAAAAAAGTCTGTCTATATACACTATGAATGAGGAGATGCTGAGGGACGGTAAATGATAGCCACACGACAGACAGAACGACTGTGTGAGAGCTACTGTGGCAGAACACAGCTTCTTCCAAAGCTCATTATGACACTTTGGCAACTTTTCTATGAGCTTGAAACAGTTCAAAATCTAAAAAATTAGCGATGAGATTTTATGAAAAAGTCAAGCTTGCTTCGTTCGCACTAAGGATATGCTGTGGTAAAGGAAGACAGTGATAAAGATGAGCAGAGCGAGAAGATGACCAGCGCGTGGGACACGCTATTAGGGAATCAGTCAAATCTGCATCAACGGCGTGGGTGGCTCAAGCCTGTAATCTCAGCACTAGGCAAGCAGAGGGAGAAGGACCCGGATTTCTAGGCTAGCCTAGACTACATGAGATTGTGTTTCAAAAGTAAAAGCAAAAGACAAAACTCTTACCTAACATGTGTGAGGCTCCAAGTTGGATACCCAGCACCTTAAACAAAATAACATTCTGAGAGAGCAAGCTGGGGAGATGGCTCAGAGGTTAAGAGCAGTTGTTACTCTTGTAAAGGAACCAGGTTTGATTCCCAGAAACACAAGATGGTTCACAACCATCCATAACTCCAGTTCCGGGGGATCTGAGGTCCTGTTCTGACCTTCATAGGCATCAGGCACAAGTGCCTATAAAAACATTCATACACATAAAACAGAACTAAATCTAATAGAACCTATTTTTATCAGAGAGAGAGTTTGGTGTAGGGATTGACATCCTCACTGTGGAATACTTCACAGACTTTCAAAAAGTGATGTCCTTCAGTGTTCTGGTGTGCACCTATAGCATCAGCACACAGGAGGCAGAGGCAGGTGACCTCTGTGAATCTGAGGCCTGTCTGGTCTACACTATGCCAGTTCAAAGCCAGTCAGTATTAAATAGTGAGATCCTTCTTAAAAATAAAAGGAAGGGAGGGGGGAGGGAGGGAGGGAGGGAATCTAAGTGTACTGATATACAACTTTTTCTAAAATAGCTACTAACAAGTAGAACAATGGATGTAAAATGATCCCATCAGTGTTCATTTAAAAATAGACACTGTTAAAAGGAAGCAAAAGAGTAAACACATACACACACACACACACACACACACACACACACACATCCCACCAGTGCCGAGAAGATAGCTCAGTGGATAAAGTGTTCGCTCTGCAAGCATGAGGACCTGAGTTTGAATCCCCAGCACTCAAGTGAAAGTCTGGCATGGCAGCACACACCTGTAACCCAGCACTCGGGAGGTAGAGACAGGTAGACCCTAGGGGCTTGTTGGCCAGTGTAGCCAACACTGCTAAGGTCAAGTTCAGCAAGAGATTTTGTTCCAAAAACTAATATAGAGAGAGATAGAGAAAGATACTCAAAGTCTACCTCTGGCCTCTACATGTGCACGCACAGGCAAACATAGTCCTACACACCAC